CAGCCCTGGCCCCCACTTCTGTCCACTCTTGCCACCGTGTCCAGGGAGTGGGGGCGAGGTCAGCTGTGCTGGCCTTGCCCCCGCTACTCCATCCCCTCTGTCTCAACCATCCTGGTGGTGGGCTGCCTTCTGTCAGAGTGCGAATAAAGCATTACAGACAGCAGACAGGCAGATTTAGGTTTTTATAATATTAAAATATTGCAGTTCTATTGGTTTTCTATTGTTAATATACTGTCTCTTGCCTAGACCTAATATGTCTCTCTCCCAGGAACTATGCAGTTAGGAGACTTCACACCAGGTCTACTCCATGACAGCCTATTACCTCTGTCGAGTTCTATAGATATTTATGTTGTAGAATTTGCATTTTGCCATAGCTACCTCTATGGGTTTTTCTGGTTGGGAGATGGAGTTGGAATGTGGCTTCAGGCAACTAGGAGTGAACATCACATAACAATGTGCCTAATGCCCTGGTAAATTCATACATGTGATTTTTATTAATGCAAATTGTTGAATGCGTAGAATTTAACAAGAACAGAAACCTATTTGGAATTCTGGCCCAAAAACAGAGTGGACGCAGCTATCATCCTGCATCTAAAGTGATTTAACATCAACATTTAAAAGAAAAATGATGTTATATCAATATTTTCATACGGTGGATACTGGATACTTTTCAGCTTAATGAGCAACGCTATCAAAATTGTGAAATAATTGGTGGCAGAGTGGGTATACATGTATATACTTGAGTATCCGTAACTCAAAGCACTTTCTTCATTTATTTGTACCTAGGCTTCCTGTTTTCCAAGTTTCAGCCTGGAATATTTTTTTTTTTCTGCCTGATTTATAAAAACCTTTAAAGTAGGCAACTATGATATGTTACGTCAAATAATATTAAATTAGGCCCTGCACCAGATATTCATTCCAAGACTAGGACATGGTTACTTCTTAACCAAGAATACATTTATTAAGGCTTTAGCAGTTACAATTCTATTACTGTGTTTAGTCAGAAAGTAGTATAACATGCCCCCCACTGCAAAGCACAATGACCTCGACAGCACCAGGTGATCAATTTGTGAAGTCTTGTCTGGGGGCTCCCATTTCCTATGCCTGGTGTCTGCATAGAGTAGAATTCTTGGATTGTTGTCAGGATCTCTTTGGGAGGGACTCTGGAGTGCAAGCTTGTTTTCTACTTATATACCACATTTCTTATCATATAATTAACTTGTGCTATTCCCTACAATGCATATTAATAAGCCTATTTCCGCTTACCATATATGATAAATCTTTACTAACTTTCCCAATTTTAGGTATCTATTTCATTCTTAGGTAGGGGTCCATTTTGCTGCTTATTGTTCTTCTTTCCCAAACTAAATCTCCTTATTTTGGTTGGCCCATCGCTTGCTTTGACTTTCATCATCCAGACAAGATCTCTCTAGACTTCTTTTTCTTTGCCAAGAATGAATCTTGGTCAAAGTGACCCTCATGTCATCTCTTGTTCTTGAGTTGCAGCTTGGTTGAAACCACGGTTAAATTGGCCAGCTCAAAGATTAATGCCAAGCAAAGTTAAGAAAAGGAAAATCCAGGCCCACCGGTCTCTGAATTCCAACAACTGGAAATACTGACATAACTTTTGTAATTGCAGTGTAAATGGTCTCACAGTAAAATATATATTTTAAAACATTTGTCAGTTTATAAAAGTTAAAAACAGAAAGAGCATTCTAATCCAACTCTGACGGAAGGTGTGAAATGTCTTGCATTTTTCTTCATTGCAGTTACCTTTCAGGTGGATTTGAATTATGGTAATTCAGGCTTAATTAAAGCTGTATACAATTAGGATCCTGAGCAGTTTACTATCCCAGGGTCAAGAATCCTGACAGCTTCGGTTCAGCTTGAAAAACATCAATTTATGTGAGATCATGTTGCATCCCCCTGCAGCTAAACCAGAAAATAGAGGTCTTGAGAAACCTGCTAAGCACATCTAACAGGATATCCTTCAAGTGTTGTCCATAGGCAGGCAGTGTGACAGCATCCTATGAGTTATTTATGAAAAGCATAATATTTTTAGAACGCTTTTTACATTCACTCTATTTAGTTTATCAGTGCATTATGAGAATCAGTTGCAAAGTACATATTCCCAGTTTTTTAAATTGTAATTCTTAAAGTTAGGCTCCTATATCCATAGGTGAAGCTTTGATAGGAGTTATTGGGTGCTCGAGCCATATAAGTGCTTGGTCATGGTCTTAACTGGATACTTTTAGCTTAATGAGCAACGCTATCAAAATTGTGAAATAATTGGTGGCAGAGTGGGTATGCATGTATATACTTGAGTATCCATAACTCAAAGCACTTTCTTCACCTATTTGTACCTAGGCTTAACTCATGGTTTTTAAAAATATTTGCCATACTATTTAAGGTGCAGTGTAATGAGTATAGACTGATGCAAATGAATGGCTTCTGGAGGTGATTGTCTGAAATGAGGCCAAGTTAGAGCATGTGATAGCCCCTAAAGGTGTTAAAATTTATAAGATAATAAGTACAGGAATATTTATAGTATTACACAAAAACTTAGAGCTAATAAATCACCACACTTTTGTTCTCCAGTAATACAATTGTTGTTTAAATAACCATTTCCTCCTCATGGCATTTTTCTGTATGTATGTATTTTCATGTTTTCTCAAAATATACACAAGAGAACCTTGCCATGAGAGGGCTTGGAAGTGCTATGCTGCCCTCCTGCATTTTTCTGAACATTTATATTATGTTCCCTTGAAATATGTAATCTATGTGGACATGGAATGGAATGTGATTGGATTAAGTGTCACTATAGTTTCATTTCATAGGTGAGGATAACGTTTAATATTTTTGGTGAATGAGTGAAATCTTCTAAGCATATAATTCCTGTCAAAATCAAACTAGCAATTATGGAGTAGTTTTCCAATATATTATGGTGGTTAACTGAATGTGTGTGAATGCAACTATGACTAATCACTTCAGGAAGGATAGAAAATTTCTTACAGTATATAATCCTGGCATTTTAATATAGGTTACTTATTTGTGCAAACTACATTATCTAAAAGAATTAGCAGCCAGCAAAAGCTTGACATTGTCACTTTGCAGACTCCATAACTATGCAATTATTGATAAATGAAGAGTCTATGGCAGCTAGCTATAGCAGAGAAGCTTGTTTCCAATTTTAGTTATCATAAAGACTTCAACATCATTCTGTCCTAATTCATGGTAGCACTTAGGGGACCTGTTAAAAAGTAGGTGCGTCTACATGTCACTGTAAAGTGATGTGCTATGGCACCATGCTTTGGTACTTCCTTTTGGAAGTACTAAAGCATGGTGCACAGTTAGATTTTGCGGCTACATCATCATAGTGATGCACTATAACAGGGGAGCATGCCACTACAGTGACGTAGCTGCCAGTCGTGTAGACCCGTGTGATTGCTACGTCACTGTAGCATGCCATATGGCAACATAGCATGTTGCTACGTTGCTGTAGGGCGACAGGTAGATATGCCTAGTAGGTCTAACAGTTGTGCATTTGACTCCTGATGTTGCTGTGAAGTCAAACACCATATGAGGGACATCCTTTAGGATGGTGCAGCATGCTCGCTTTGGTATGGCTGACCTCGTCTGAGAGCTGATCAGGTCAGGAGGTGTTGTGTCCATTCTCTTGACTAACTAGGGACATGCAAGAATATAGTTTCTGCACTGTGGTGAGTGCAAGCACATCAGTTGTTACAGGTATCTCTTTGGACTCACAAGTAAGGACAGATTTTTTTTCTCCACTCCTACATGACACTCCAGAAAGACTAGTCATAATCTGCTGCCTACCAAGTCAGAAAACAAACCAAATTCCTGAAATACCATGAAAACACACGCTGTTTATTTACATTGACAGCTGTAAGTTCATTTTAAGTACAGGAGACTTATAATGAAGTACTAAATGTACAGTCATATGTTATAGAAATAAAGATGTCTTTGTAATATGTTATGTACTCACTACAACAGTCTGGTAGTAAATCTTTTCTATGAAGGCAGAAAGCCATTTACATAAGCAAGAAACTTCACATACTTACACACATGGTTAATTCATTTAAGGTCAGTAACACTCAGAGTTGACACTAGGGGTGTGTGGGACCCGGGGCATATCAGCCTGTGTGGGGCCTTTGCTGGGGGGGGCGGCAAGCAGCTGCAGCGCAAAGCCAGCAGTGCCTGGCAGCTGTG